CAGATATCACACCACCTAGTTTCCTGTTGCAAAAGACTTCTGGTCACTGCACATTCACTCTCAGTAAACGATCCTCACGCAGTCCCGCCTCGAGTCAGACCTCTGGTCACTTTAAAGCCGTGATAGATGTTAGACAATGTCAACAACATGCTGACGATGTACCAGAGTGTCTCTACGGACAGAAATGTATTAAGATGTAATTTCATTGTTTAAAAAAAGCAAAACATTCATTTTCAACACTGATACTGTGCTGTGTCCGCTCACTGTTGCCATGACAATAGACAGACGCCCCCACATCCCAGACCCCCCCCACCCCCACCTCCATCTTCCCTCTGTCAGCCCCAATTTCTTAAATTCTTCGACAGACTCAGTGTTTCGATGTAAAACTGGTTCAATGGGTCAGCAGACACACACACACACACACACACACAGGAAATTAATAGTGGTTAAGTGGGAGAACTCCCCCTGGCCTGTAGTGTGTGTCTCTCTCTCTGCGGTTGTTTATCACTTGGAATCGGCCCGAGCGTCTCCAAGCTAAATGTTTGTCCACCGTTGGCCGGGGCTTTTTCTGAACTCTCCAGTGGGGCACCGATCAACTTCAAAAATTCCCGCAGAGACAGAGTTAGTGGGTGTGGAGAGACAGCGAGAGGGATGTTTCGGAGAAGTGAAATCTAGAAATAGCACCAATCTGATAAGATGAATAAAATGTGCTGTCGGGGGAGGAGCCGCCGTCCCCGCGCTCTCCACCCACTCTGACATCGGACCGCCCAAAAATAAAAGCTTTCACTTGTATAAACACAGGAACTCAAGTCGGCTTGAATCAAAAACACGAAAAAAAAGGAGATTTCAGAAAACGTCCTCCTCCCACAATTCAATGCATTCCAGTCCTGAACGCATGCCCTCGTTTGATTGGCTGGCCCGTCACCAAAGAGGCGGGTGTTGCCCTCCCCCCGTGTCTGGACAGATTTGAAAGAGTTTTTAACCTCACAGATTTTTCTCCAAGTGTATTTTTTTTTTTTTTACCACAGAGAGGAATGTGAATTTAGATGAAAATGAAGATAGGACGAGGAAAGGTAGAGGCCGGGGCTCTGCTGGGTGCAGAACAGTTCCGACCCAGAGGCAGAGCAGAGACGGATTTTAAACAGATCACTGGCATTTTTTTTTTTTTGAGAGAAGTGAGATGTCAGAGCCAGAGAAGGTGACGGATTCCAAACCGTTCACCTGGAGGTCACATGCTGCCTCTCCACTCCCTGTATCGTTCATGTGCGTGTTGTAGTTTGTGGACATGTGCCAAGCACAACCAGGCGCGACGGCCGATGTGCATCGTTAGAGACGAATACACAGACCGCAGCTCGGACTTCAGATTAATGAAAAATGTTATGTTGCAGTTGTTTAACCACATTCTGTTTTTAGGTGCAGTTAGTTTCACGCCTTTCTTTTCATCGTCTACTGTCGCTCGTCGACAGATGTTTAACATGAATTTCACTTGTTTTTCGACTTGTGAAAGATGTGTTTTTATTCACACCAGACATTTTGATGTGCTGCAGATTCATTCTACAAACGATCGCTCATATTCTGCTTCTGACTGTGAACAGAATCTTCTGCTTAGACATTCACTGGGTTTAGCTGCTGCCCAATGATCAGCCTGTAAAAAAAACAGTGGTATAAATATCTTCTGGAGGAGGCTTTTGTAAATTCTCACCCTGATTATGTCCCAGTGATGTCAGCGCGGGCCTGGAGCCTCGTTAACTGAGGGGCCACAGGTCTTAAATGAGTCGATGTTTACCAGAACAAACTCTCAACAAAAGATCCTTTTTGAGTTTCATTATGGGAAACACAGGATTTCTTGACCCACACCAGGGACATAAAGTCTCTTTCAAATCTCCCAATTTGTAGGAGGCGCAACAATTGGTGACCTTTGACCTCTGTCAGTCAGGTCACCGGTCGGCCTTCGATTGTCTGACGCTGCCCAGAAGGTGACAGCGGGGCGAACTCGTCCTCCGTCTCTCTCTGTGGTGGTTTATCACTTGGATCAGCCTCTCAGAGCTCTGAGTCTTTAATCATAAACCGTAAACACAGATGGACGACACTTCCACTTCCCCCCACTGTCCAGAAATGAAGCTAAAATATTCCAGATGACATCGCCCGATTGGGGTTTGCCGATGCGTCTCATTAAAAGATTTTTCGTAAAAGAAGAAGAAAGGAAACCTCTTCCTCTTCTACTCTCTCGTTTTCTTTCCTTTCCTCTTTGTATCAGGGCAGAGAGAGAGAGAGAGAGAGCGAGAGAGTGAGATGAGTCTTTTTACTCAGCCGTCGTTTCCTCCTCTTTATCTAAGCGCCGTGTGAGAAGAGCGGAGCGAGGGAGTGAACATGAAGCGGAGTTAGAGATGACAGATCAGTGAGCTGAGAGCTGCGGAGCGGATGTGACAGCGGGAGCTGCATCTTCCACCTCATCCCCATTTTCCCTTTGACCTCTCCTCCCCTCTTCCATGTATGATTGTGTTCGGCAGCGTCTCAGCAGGGAGATGAATTATCACTACTTAATGAATCTCTATCCACATATACTTCTGACACAACTGCAGCGAGTGAATGTGGATTACTCCTCCACCACCTCATCATGAATTGCTTCGAGCTTCCTTTTTTAATCCTGTGACTTTTTCAATCATCGGCTGGTTTTTTTTTTTTTCTAAAATGAGATTTCGTGGGGAAAAGGGCACTTTCCTCCGAGGTTGATGAAGCAGAGTGTTGAAGTGATGGAGCCTCTTAAACCTTTAATGTCAAATGTCCGAGAACCTCTGATGACAATTTTATTACGGCTCAGCGCAGACTCTGTGCTGCGTCCTCCCTCTCCTGCATTTCTTTTCACTGACGACTGACAAATAAAGAACAGGAAGTGGTGGCGTCAGGGGCTTCGAGTGAATCATGGTGTTCGACCCCCTGTCGTCGTGTCAACTCACATCGACTGTAAGATTCCCGATCACAGGACAGCGGGTCGTGTGAACGTCACAGTGAATCCAACCAACTAGAAAGTTGTGCAGTGTGAACTTGACGGTAGCTTTGTCGTCCCAGGCTCAAGAATTGATTTAGAAAATACTCTTTAATATGTTCGATGTTAGTTCAGTTTCAAAAACAACCTTTTAAAAAATCATCCCCACAGTGGACCCTCAGTCTCCCTCTTCTCTTTTAGCTCCTTGTCAGTCATTCTTGTCCTTCTCCTCCTCTGACCCTCTCCTCCTTGTCCTCTTTTTTCCTCCCTGTCTTCTGCTTGACCTCCCCCGCACTTCACTTCACAATCGTCTTCTCCTCTTGTGTCCTACTCGGTAATCGAGACACTGTTGATGGGGAGGCCGTCCGTGCTGAACAGGCCTCGCTGGGAGCTCACTGGCAGCATCGTCTCTTTTTCTCATCGTTTTGTTTTCATCCTCCTGCACGTTTGTTTTGCTTCATGTGTTCAGATGTCCAACATTTTTGAAGATGGATTAGAGAGCAAAAATAAATCTTGCTGCGTAAGCACCCAGCGTCCTCATTCCTTGACTGCCTGCGCTTGTGCTAAAAACAGAAATCCCACTCGAGAGCCAGGACAGACGCTCACAGTCAGATGCTTCGAGTCCACTTTTATGTTTTAGTTCAATCTGTTCTTTGTTTTAGAGAAAATGAAGATGAATTGGATCAAGCAGTTGTGTGCAAAGAGGACCGGATTAGGATTATGTGCAATTAGTCTGACTCATATTATATTTCTGAACACTGTGATCGTTCCTTAATAAAACGTGCATCCTACGAGATTTTCTCATCTGAATTTTAAATTCAGCGACGCGTCAACGAGAGGCTAAACATCACTGTGTGAGTAACGATGCAATGACGACTCGCTTGTTCCCGTCTTGTCTTCCCACCGGGGTCTTCCATAAAACTCTGCGTGATGGAAATGAAATGAAATCATTGAATCAGCTCGATGATCATCATCATACATGACGTGGAGCTCACGGAGCAGACCCAGGCTTCAGCACTGACATCAACAGGCTCTTGAACTGAACTGAGAAGAGAAATGATTCTACTTCTGACTTTGTAACGTCAGTAAACATTTTCCTAAAGCGTTGACGGTCTTGATCTCTAGTTTCAAGTCTTCTTCGAAACAGCTGATGTTCATTAAGTAAACGATGGTCCATTTACTGTATGCAATGGGGCGTGGATACCGTGTGATTGACAGCTAATACAGTCCAATGGATGCAGGTTACAAAGTGCAGGCTCCGACCCCGGCTCATCCAAATATGGTGACTTCTGGTTTTGTGGGTTCACACTTTGTTTGGACCTCTAGTGACTGATTTATGGTCACTAAGTACTGTGAACATTATACTTTGACAAATTATCATGGTCTCCACCATCTACTGGCATCTGAAACGCTGCAGATGCTCTAAGACACTAAAGAGGTCCGTAGAGCTGAGGGGAGTTTGTTATTGAGAGGAATCCTCTTCATGTGACACATTTATCATCGTGAAAATGTTGCTGATTTAAGTTTCCACTGACTAACAGTCCATCTCAGTTTAAAACCAGCAGTGGAAAAATAAGCACTCGTCAAACAACTCGTCCTAAATAAAGACAATTTCATTATCTCTGAACAAAGAGCCGGTTTCCCTGAGGTTCTTTATATCTTCACAGTCTTCACTTCTTTTTAACTTTTAACAAGTATTTCTTGTAATTAGTAAAGAAAACAAGAGACGGAGTAAAAACCAAATCACTGAAGGTTCATGTGCTGCATCTTCCATCTGTTCTCTGGACTGCTGCTCTTATCAAATCCCAAAAGTGCTGATTGATTGATTTGTTTTTAATTATTAATATTTTAAACAATCCCAGACGCCGCTGTCTTATGAGGTTAATTATGGTTTACCCAGATATAAACGGTGCAGATGGGAATGAAGAGATTGCTCCTGAAACTGAAATTGTTTTTTAATCTTATTAGATTGTTTCTTAATTTCTCCCCCCCCCCTCCTTTGTCTCGTTGCAGGATGAAAATGCGACGGCACAGGGTGTTCTTGCTCTGCACGGTGGGCCTGTGCGTCATCTCCTTCCTACACTACTACAAGGCCCTCCACTATGTCTCCCTGCTGCGCGAGCTCTCCGCCCCGTACCCCAACATCAAGTCCTTCATCATGGTCTCCGGCTTCTTCTGGAGGGAGAAGGATGTGGCCTCCACCCCGCTCAGCCCCGCCTCCCCCGAAGAGGCCCCACCCTTACCAGTTATCCGTCAGTCGGACGCCAAAGCCAGAGGCCAGTCAGGTGCTGTGGGAGGAGGAGGAGGAGGAGGAGGAGGCAGAGAAGGAGGAGGGAAGGGTGTGGGGATTAGTGGAATCATGGTTGGAGGTGCTGGGATTGTTGGTAGGGCCGGGCTGGAGATGAGGCTGAGGGAGGATCCGGCTGCTCCTCACCCCTGGGAGAAACCAGAGGAGAACCAGCGGGGAGATTCTCCCAATGAGGTAAAAAGAGAGTTGCATTGATCCCATATCTCCTTTTGTCTTTTATTATTATCGCCTCACATCCGTCGTCCTTTGTTTTATCTTTGAGACAAAGTGAACTGCAGTCACTCGTCAGAGGTCACGTTGTCCTGGAGTGATTTACCGTTGGAGCCAGTACAGATTCCTGTTTGTCAAGAAATGGTGACTTTCATACTGAAGCTGTGGTGATGAGGTGTCGTTGTGCTGTGAATTTGATTTCCTCAGCAGGGACTGCAGCCTGTTTGTTCACTTGATCTTGTTTGATGCGACCGACAAGGTTGCGTTCTCAACAGTGAAGCAAACACAGTTACTGCACTTTGAAAGCTACAGTAAGACCAGACAAGCTTATGGTTCACGGTCCGATGATAAGGTTCATTCTGCATTAGTTTAGACTTTCAGACTGAAGGGAGAATAACAACCCAATTATGACGACGGACTCGTTCACAGACCGTGATTTAATAAATTCTTTGCAGGAGGAAGTTTGACTCGTGTCTAGATGGAAGAGTGTGGATTTAAGTTTCTAATTTCATGGACTGTAAGTACGAGTCCATCCTGATGATACATTTCTGATGGGATATTCTCTTTCATGTCACCTCACTTTAATTACACAGTTAATTCAAATCCACATTCTTTTTGGTTGCTGGCGGGTTTTTTTTTGGTGTTTGACTAAATATCTGTTATTCACAAATTCACAGACATTTGCGACTGTTTGCATCGTACACATGAAACTTGATTTGAGAAAAGAGACTCACATCAGTCTGTGTTTTTGCTGAGGTGCTTTACAGGGTGAGAAGTTTTTTATCCTGTCGTGTGACTATCTGAAATGCAACTTTTCAAGATCGTCGACACCTCCGTCCTTGTGTTTGCAGCTCGTAGCCCTAAACATCAAGTTGTTTCTGGGTGTGAATTGTAGTTTACTAATGGTAGATATTCATTCACTGAAGTGTCCTCAACAGTTTCCTCTCTCTGTCTGTCTTCCAGGAGAGAGCTGAGGACAAATTGAGGCTGCAGGACCCCAACCACCAAGTTGAACCTGCTGCGCCTGACGTCCCTGATGTCCCATTGCCTGGAAAAGAACAAAGGGTGATAGCCCTCAAGGATCAATTGTCGGACCCCTTAGAATCCTTGGGAGACCTCCACACCCACACATTCCAGCTTCAAAATGACAAAACACCTTACTTTGTCCGAACCAAAGCCGGGGCTCTTTGCTTTAGGCAGGGGACGGAGGTGGCTACACCGAAAGAGTACTCTGGGAAATTAGGGGGGGCTGTGGCCAACGGAGCTGGGGAAGGAGCCCGGGCCGGGGCTGCCGGGCAGCGGAAACCTCTGGAAGTCCAGCAGCAGCCCTCCATAGCGCCTAAAGCCAAGACGAGGGCCAGGGGCAACGGGAAGCGGCTGGTCAAGTGTGTGTGTCGGCCGGGGTGGCACGGACCTTACTGTGGGGTTCCCACCATGGTGTATCACTCCAATCTGCCAACCAAGGAGAGGCTGACACCCAGGGAGACCCCGCGGAGGGTGATCAACGCTATCAATGTTAACCACGAGTTTGACCTGCTGCACGTGCGCTTTCACGAGCTCGCCCAAGCCGTTGATCTGTTCCTCGTGTGTGAATCCAATTTCACTGCCTACGGGGAGAAACGGCCGCTGAGGTAAGACCCACATCGCTGGTGCATGTGTGGAAATTATACAAGCTCTGCCCTGAAGTTCAAGGTGTATTTAAGAAAGAGGTGTAATCCTCCGCTGAGCTGCTCTGTGGCCGTCAGCAGAAGAGTCTGGTTGTAAAATGACATCCAGACTCAGCAAATCTCACACTGGATTAAAGACTTGTAGTGCAATCGTTATCAAAGCATGAGTTGGTGATCCCATGTTACCTATGTTTTAATACAGATAAGGAATTAATCTGAGGTTCTAGCTTGAACTTGAGATATTTAATGTATAATTTACTTTCATAAATATTCATCAGCACAAAGTTAAAGCAAACTCCCAACTATTTTTTTTTTTTTTTTTATCAAATTATGACACCTCCCGATGTCTTACTGTTTACAGCTCACAGACTTTGTTTACAGCCCACCTTCACGCCTCTGTGTCGGTGCGCCGAATAACAATGACAATGAACTTCCTTTGGCGATAACATGAAACGCCTCGGGAGCAATTTTACAGCAGATTATGACAAGAGCGACACGATTGACTCAGTGTGGAGGCCTGAGGGCAGAGATTGGTGTTGTAAATCATAGGATGTGACACTGCATGAAAGTAGCTCCAGTCAGTGAACACGTTGTCTTCGGTCATGCATATCAACAAGTTAATTGAGTTGTTCTTTCTGTCACTTTGCATATGGACACAGGGTTTCTGAGCTGAAAGGCATCCTTTGTCACACGAGCCTGTTGTTCCTTATAATTTACTTCAGCCTTATTCCCTTATGTATAAATGAAATTCATACCGATACATATTGGATTTCTTTCTTTCTTTCTTTCTATATTTATAGGCAATAATTGGATTTCATTTTCTTCTGTGCAACATTTCAAACTTGTTTTGGTCGTATAATCAATATCAATAAACATCATGTTTCCATTAATTTCCCTCAAAGTCACATCACATGAAGTTTTAAACTAAATCAAATACACAACAACAATGAGTATTTAAGTTCACTGGTCGTATGAATATAACGATGCACGAACTAATGGCTCTGTAATCTTCCCAGTTTCCTGCGGCTCCTCCTCAACGGTACGTACGACTACGTACGTCACAAGATCCTGTACGTGTTCCTCGACCACTTCCCAGAAGGCGGTCGCCAGGACGGCTGGATCGTTGATGACTACTTGCGGACATTCTTGACACGTAACGGCATGTCCCGGGTGGTGGGAGCCAGGCCGGACGACGTCTTTGTCATCAATGACGCAGATGAAATCCCAGCACGTGAGGGCCTTCTTTTCCTCAAGCTGTTCGATGGCTGGACGGAACCTTTTGCAATCCACATGCGCAAGGTAACAGCAGTATATCATGTTTATACTGTGTGTCCTCCTGTGGTGACTGTGACTCGATGTATGACGTATGAAAGTGATCTGTTACTGTAGCCATTAAGATTTATGTCTCTATATTCCTCTCCTCTCTCCACATCCAGTCACTGTATGGATTCTTCTGGAAGCAGTTCGGCTCCTTAGAGGTGGTGTCTGGTTGCACGGTGGGGATGCTCAGTGACGTCTATGACGGTGACGGTATTAAACTGCGTCGCCGCGAATACTACACCATGCCGGGATTTCGCAAGTACGAGAACGACACGGGCCACATCCTGGTGCAGTGGTCGGTGGGCAGCCCCTTCCACTTCGCCGGGTGGCACTGCTCCTGGTGCTTCTCGCCGGAGGGCATCTACTTCAAGCTGGTGTCGGCGCAGAACGGAGACTTCCCGCGGTGGGGTGACTACGAGGACAAGCGAGATCTCAGCTACATCCAGGATCTGATCCGGACGGGGGGTTGGTTCGATGGCTCCCTGCAAGAATATCCTCCGGTGGACCCCAAAGAGCACATGTACGCCCCCAAGTACATGCTGGAGCACTTTGACAGGTACCGCTACCTCCTAGAGAACCCTTACAACAAAGTGTCCAGACCGAGCGAGGGCTAGGAGGTCCGCTGGGTGAATAAACGTGAAATAACTAGTAGGGCCCGAGTGGGGCCTCAGCACTGAGTTGGGCGGAACGGTACTGATGAACTACATCTCTCACTGGAGGGATACTAAATGTATCTCCACCAGGCAGCACTGATGTTGCATTTTTTGGGGGGTTAAAAAAAGGGAACACTGAGTCACATCCACCATGGATTTACGGAGAGAGCATATAGAGGATACAACCACTGGATAAACAAAACCATAGATTTCCTCATTCCTCCCTTTTTGGGGGAGGGGTCAAGCTATCTCTCTTTTCGTCACCCCCCACCCCTGTCCTCCCTTTCTTCATCCGATCTGATTGGACACGCCTGCTGTCTGAGAGAGACGGTCGCCGAGAAGAAGAACAAGGGATTATTTGCAGGCGTTTGAAACCTGTGAGGAGGAGAAACATAGCGAGTGAAGGACCGTTTTTTTTTTTTTTTTTGTTTCCGTCTGTGTTTACTAAAGTTTACGAAGCGGGCTGATGTTCCCTTTTCACCCTCCGCCTTCAGATGTCTTCCTGTCATATTCGGTGACCTCCTTCCGCAACCACGTTCTGATGTTTGTCTTTGGTCCCAGTAGAAAATTATAAACCACATTTAAACCCTGCTGGAGTCCACTCTGCCAAATGAACAGGAGCGACTCCGTGGAGATGTTTCAGCTCATTCATGTATTCACACATCCACATGCACCTTAGACCTGTTTGAGTGTTGGTGAAACAGTGTGTGTGTGAGTGTGTCTTTGTGTCATTATTGTGAGGTTTTGGGGTGTGAAGGGGAGAGAGAGAAACAGTCAGGGGGGAAAGGGGAAGAGAAAAGGGAACGGGGGAAGGAAAGGAGATGCTCTCGACGTTCCTTCTCTCCCCAGCGTCTGCTGACGCATGAGGGATGTTGCAGGGTTGAGTGTGCAGAATGTGTGCGCTCCCCTGGCGCTTCCAGATAACTCTGAATAAATCACGGCCCTGTCGATGGCGTGCGAGACGGATGACACCCCAGCGTTAGTTTGTCCGACGAGAACAATTCGAGGGGAGCCGGGGAACGATCTCCCTTCAGTTTCGTCTCGCTGTCTGTCTCGGAGCCGAGATGACTTTGTTTCCTTGGAAACTAAAGCATGTGAAAAAGGGAGACGGGATGGGTGTTGTTGAGATGAGTGGGCGGGTTCACATCAGGCGAGGAGCTGCAGCGTTCAGATGAGGTCAATGCCGAATACAGGTCCCCCAGTAAAATATTCCTTTCTCCTCCGCTGCCAATCGCCCACTCTCTGAAACTGACTCTTCCGGAGCTTCTTCTGTCTTTCTCCTGTCGTCTCTCCGCGTTTTGTGCTGCTGTCTTCTTTTTGTTTTGGGTTTTTTTTGTCCTCGGTGTGTGTTTTTAACTTAATCCTCATTAACAAGGCATACTTAATTCCCGTCTTCAATTATTTTCTTTTTCATATCCTCTCCAGAAGCAGCTTCCCTCGCTCATACAGTACACACACACACACACACACACACACACACACACACACACTGGCTCTCAAACTCCATTTTGGGTGTGTATCTATTTCCACTTAATCCCTGCAAGAATTCCCCATTTCAACAATAGGGTTGTATTTATCTTCGCTCTGCCTCATTTCTCTCGCCCTGTCTCTATAGGACAGGGCAGCCGTTACCATGGCAATGCCTTCCCTCTG